GCAGAATAACAAGGATAGTTTAGATACTTTCTTATTCTTAATTAACTGCAATGTTAAGTTGGCAATGGAGATGGAGAATGACAATGAATTATCCTTTTTAGATGTTCTAGTGATCAGAGTAGGTGAGAAGTTAAACAGGGATGTGTATAGAAAGCCAACGCGTGCTGGCTTTATTCTTAAATTCTTCTCCAATCATAGTTACAAAACAAAGGTTTAAGTTTCAAAATCTATGATTATTCGGAGAATAAAACTAGCCGATAGAGAAAATTGTGGCAATGAATTGGATCGGCTTAAAGTAATATTTCTTAAGAATAATTATCCCATAGGCTTGATTGAAAATAATATTAGAATAATAAAGAATATTTTTTGAATGCTGAATACGTAAGGGAAGATAATGAGACCTTTCCTCATGTTTTGTCTTTACCTCCGTGCATTCTCTCTTTAGAAGGATAGGTGAACGAGTAAAGAAGTGAGGAATAAAAACCGTTCTCAGGGAAACTACGAAACTTTTTTCAGTAATGCCCAGTTTTAGAGAGAAAGTCGACCCATTATCCAGATCGGGTTGCTATAAGGTAATGTTTTCATGTGGTCGCTTTTATGTCGCGCATAAGCAAACACAAACAGGCACATACACATACAGAGACATACACACTCACAGGCTTTGAGGTTGAAATATGACTGTAACTAATCAAAACACTTTATACCTCATCAAAGAGGCCAGATATAGGGTATGTATAAAAAATTTCAAGGATTTGCCACTGAGTTTTCTTGACTCATTAGCTTAAATTTGGTTGTAACGATGATACCTTGCTCTGATGATGTTCGCCATATGAAGAACGAAAGCTTATCACTTTTTCACCGGAATCTAAGGAAATTACTTCGGAAATAGCGTCAGCATGAATCTTCCAGTAAAGCCATTCAACAGCTGGTCAAGAGGAATTCACCGTCGTCTTCTGGTGGAATCGACCTTCGAATCTCTTCACCAAACACTTTAACTCGAAATGGAAGTAAGCTCAACAATTATGAAACAAAAGATTCCTCGAAGACAACTTTTCTTAACAGTCTTAAGTAATAGCAGGTTGAGTAAAATGACGACCAAGCATAAAAGTAACTGATATGGTCACAGATCTTGAAGCAGAGAGAAAATAGCCAAAGTAAAATGGTTACATGTTTTTATTGGTAGTTACTAGGGTGAGAAGCAATGATACTTGATTCTTCGCAATTAAGTATTGTTTCGAGACAACCAGTAGATCAGTAATATGATATGTATTCACCCAATTTTGTTTAAGGTGATGAAGGACTTGTAGAAGAAATTTCCCACAATGATATAAGTAGAGCTGAAATCTCCATTGAATTTCACATAGCCTTGCTTTCCCAAAAGTTTTTCTCATCCAGGGTGGACTGTGACTCAAAGGCACTGGTGTCAATGTGGCCTAGTGAATAACGTGTCAAGCTCCCATTCAGCACTGTCACGGTTCGACTCCGGCTAGAAGTCTTGATAAGTCGAAACATCAGTCCACCTTGTATGAGAACAACTTTTGGAAAAGCAAGGCTGTGTAAAATTCAATGGAAACGTCAACTCTACTCATATCATTGTGGGAAAATTCTTCAACTATCATCACCTTAAACGAATTTGGGTGAATAAATCTAATAATAATTTAATAGGAACCTACATAAAAACTAAAATCATATTTCAAGCATGTTCCTAGCCACAACTCCGGGGTAATAAAAGAATGACGAGCAAAATACTATACTTGAGGCCCATTCTGAGCCCAGTAAACTTAGTAAAAAATGCACTTAAAATAAGAGATGAAAGTGATACAGGGTCTGGCCAGATAGCCACTATTATTCTCGTAAAGTACAAGAATACCCACCCAAGATTACCCAAGATTAGCAGACCATAATGGTCTTAATAAGAGCTAGCAAGATAAAGATCCATATAGACTGAATTATAGCAATCTGAAGCCATGAAATATGTCAGCTAAGAGGTATAAAGATATTGAGGAAGCTGGCTATTTATTTGATCATAATGAATGTAAATGAACATGAATGTCCATTAAATATGTACAACTTAAAAGCCGAACGAGGCTCATGGCCCTGCTAAGCAAAGCATTTAACTATAAGGAACATGTCTAACAGTATAGGTAAACATGCTTAAAAAATTAGTAAAATCAAGATTCAAGGATGCTCATTGAATTTCAAGGATTATCAATTCATTTAGTCAAGACACGTGAGGCTTTAAATAATTTTGCTGAATAGTAAAAATGCAACCAAGAGTACCCATTATTCTCACTAAGGTCACATTAATCGTCCATCTATGTTAGCTCAAATGTGATAACGTTTAAATGCATGCGCGGAATGAAAATAGATAAATCAGCCTACAGGTTGACTCACTTGAGCTAGCTGAGTAGAGTGAAAGTGGAAAATCCCTTGTTGCTGCTGCTGTTGTGTCTGTTGCGAGTGGCGTTGATGATTTAGCCGCTGTTGAGGGTGGCCAGTCTCGTGTACATTCTGTAGATGCTGTTGTTGTGGTTGCCGATGCTGATATTGAATGTGGTGCGGATGAGAATGGTTTAGCTCTCGCTGTTGTTGTTGCTGTTGATGCAGATGGATGTAGGCCTGCGAAGGGGACAGCTGCGTGGCGGATGGAACCGATAAATGTTGGAGTCCAAGACTTGGATGAGTTCCAGCGATGGCCAAAGATACGGGACCGCCGGACACAGAGTCCATGGCCAGCTGATTATGAGAATAAAGCAAAGATATCGGAGAAGAAGAGACAGAGATAGGTGCTGATGTAGAAGAGGCGATGGATGCGACTGAGTTAACTTTATTGGTAGTGATCGTTTCTCCAGAAGCTTGAGATGTCGTGGTATTCGAGAAAGAAGAATCCGAGGCCTCATTAAAGGAAAGTCTTGATGAAGCGGAAATCAGTCTGGCTGGGTGAAGCGTGACTAGTCCATTGTCTGATGTTGGTCCGGCCAGACAGATGGTAGTTTCTCCAGCAGTACGACTGCTTCCGCCAGCAGAAGCACTCTGGTCATCACTACTGCAGCCGCCTGCACCAACAGCAGCAGCAGCAGCGGCAGCAAACGCTGTCATCGAGGTAGGGATGGCTGTGAGGAAGAAGTGTTGTTGCTGATGTTGCCGCAGAAGTGGATGCTGTTGTGGTGTACTAGAAACAGCACTAGTTGCAGTGTCAGCATCAATGATAGTGATGGAGTTGTTGGCACTAGTAGTAGTTCCATCTGTTCGAAGGCTGATTGCTGTAGGCGGAGTCTGCTGGTTTGCATACAATTGCGTAGAACAATGCATTTGAGGTGAGTTTAGCTGAACAGTAAGATGCTCATCAGTTTGTTGTTGTTGGTGCTGGGTGGTCGACACACTAACAGTTAGGTTATCCTGTATTGGTGAGGAAACAGAGACAGAAGCAACAGATTCAGTAGGAGCTAAAGAAGTTGAAAAAGTTTCCGGGGCAACTGATATGCCAGTAGTGGTGGCCGAGACAATAGGAGAACCAGCAGCCATAGTTGTCAGGAGAATTCGACCGATTGGCTGGCAAGACGTGCCGACCGTTCCAGTAGTAGAAGGTGAAGCGGCGGCCGAATTCGTACAAATGGGTTGGAGGGTGTCATTGACGAGGGGTAAGAGGGAGCCGTAGCTTTGCAGGCCTGCCGAGTGAAGACGAAGTTGCAGGGTTGGTTGCTGAGATCTTCCGGAAGTAGGGTGAAGATGAAGAGTTTGGCTGACCACTTGTACCTAGATATGAGGAATGGAAAAGTCAAAGAAGGTGAAAAAGAAGTGAAAAAAGCAGATTTATATTTTCTGTTTAAAATGGAAATGGGCTAAAAATATCCTCAACATAAAGGCTAGTCAAAAGAGACTATGTTAAGTGAGTTCCAAATGTGAAGAAAGCAGATCTTCTACAGTTTTCAAGGTAATGAGTAGGACGAAGACTGGCAAATGATGGGCTC